ATATTACATTCAACTCACAAAAGATGCACTTGTAAAATAGTAGTGTTGCAGAAGAGACCATAAATGATTTAGTTTCACTTAATTTCAAATGGTTCATTTATTGAAAACCTCTGTTTTCTGATAAATAAAACAAAGTTAAAATGCATAATCTAGAGATAGAAGAAAACTAGTAAGAATAAATCTTACAATCTGTTGGTTATTTTGAACTTAATTGACTCAACACTAACAGATACATTAATAATAAATGAAACAAGATCATTCTATTATAGTACATCACATGGCAACTTGCTCAGCCACTATAACCATGCAATTTAAGATGAATGCAAATTGTCAATTGTTCACAATACAGTGCCAACTATTCCACATAAAATAAAATGCAAAATGTTAACAAGAATCTTACACTCATTCAGTACTGCTTCTTTCAATTCTTCAAAACTATTACATAGTGACCACAGATTATGAATGTCCAAATATGATTATAAACATGTACATGAGCATATATTTTCAAATCCACATGTTTATGAATGCTATAATGGGGGTGCTGCATCACAAAGCTGGTAGGTTCACACTCTGACAGTCAGGTGCCACCATGAGCCTTTTGGAGCTTCAACAGACAAAATGCACCATTCCAATCACAAAAATGATTTTTCCCACTGTTTCATTTTCCCCATAAAATGTTCAATAAATGCTCCAACAGAAAATCGAAAAACGTGAGCCATTGCTCAACCTCATTGCTCAACCTCTTTGCAACTGTTTTGGATTATGTGCACAAAGTGTTGCCAATTGAAGAATCAAGCCACATAACATGTAGCCCTAATGAGGCTACAAAGTATACAATGAATGCTTCTATATTGTGCTTCTTTTTACAGAGAGACTAAGGTACAAGTGGAATGGGGGGGGGGGGTTGTGGAGTGATGCCCAAATCCACATGAAGAAGTGTGGATATCTTTGACCCACCTTCAAGGCTCATGCATTGAAGGAATATGCAACATTTTACTTGACTAATGTGGCCCAAAACATCATATTTTTCTTACTTAAGGTGGGCCTATAGGACATTGCCATTCAAACTCTCAAATCATGTCCACGATTAGTGGTCAATTCAACGACCACCCTATTTGGATGTTCCCACAATTGAACATTCTGTTGTTTAATATTACGTTTTAATCTATTTCATGTTGATTTGGGGCTTAAACAGCTGAAAATGCCCCTACACTTAAGCAGTAGTTTTGGAGGGATTTGAATCAGCCTTGTTGGTTTTACATTTTTACTCTTTTTTGTGTGGAAAGTTTGAATGGCTGGTGGTGTAGAGGCCTTACAATAGTATCCTGGTCAATGCATGGCAAATGAGAGTTTATTTTGTTTCCAAAAGTATTAAATGTGGGAAGAAAAAATAGTAGATGAAAGCCAAGTCTGTTTTGAAGGTGGCCAATTGGCTCAGGGTCATTGAAGTTGTTTCCTTGTTCTACTTTGTTTTTCTTTAAGCACAGGCTTTTTTCCAAAGTGAGTTTGCTTATATTTGAAGGGTTTTGAATGAAAGAAGTTTTTTATTAGTAAGAACTAGCATGCCAGGGCATTGAAAAACTATGCCATTGGTTTACTTTGATTGCAAAGCATCTTCATAATTGTTGCAGTACAAGAAAAATCCAAATGCTCGATTCCAAGGTTGAGTGCCACTTCTAGAATCTCATTTATTGAGTGCCCATGTTGCAAGATTATTTATTTTCTTTCCTTTTTTTTAATTTTATTTCAATTGCAAAAAATTTCAAAACTGAAAATGTGATAATAGTTAGCTATATATTGCAAGTGGGCTGTTTTTGTATACATTAATTTTTTTGTTGTCAAATTATGCATTGGAAATATGCCTAAATGAAGAATTAAATAATAATAATAATAATAATAATAACAAGAGGAAAAAATATTTTATTTTATTTAATTATTAAATAATAATAATAAAAAAGAATACTTCAATTTTTCATTGAAGAGGAAATGTGAGATTTATCATTTTTACTAAATAACTGAATTACTTAATAATCTTAGAACATGAATAATTAATCTAGAAAAGTATAGCAATGAAAAAAAGTTGATTTTTTATCCTATTAACAAATGTTGTGATTGTCTCATCACAAGCCAGAATGAAAAAAATAAAAATAAAATATAAGTCACTAAATTTTGATTTTTTAATTTTTTTCATTGAAGTATCATATAATGACAAATCTATTAGTATATTTTAACATTGTAACCAATATACAAGCATTGCATTTACTAATTAGTGATTTTTTCTACTCACAGTTTTTGTGTAAAATATCTGCATCTTCTTGTAAAGCAAAGTTTTAGAACACAAAAAACTTATCAAAAAGTTGCCATTGATTCATTGTATTTCTTATTGTGATGTTAAAGTTTTTATTTATGAGTCAAGGTAAAAATGAAAAAAAAGTGAAAACATGTAATAAAAAATTAATATGTTTTCAAGGGCAATTGTTTTTTTTGTTTTCCTTACTTTCCTTATTTTTTTTTGAGAACACACCTGTGGCATTAGTCACAATGTTGAAGTAGTACTTTCCCAAAATTCAACCACCCTGCTCAACAACATAAAGGTATTATTTTTGAAGAACATGTCAATGACATAAAGGTAATGTTTTTGAAGAACATGTCAACTACATGCTGTAGTGTTTATGAATACAGAAAAAGCACAGCCTCCTGGTTTGAGCATCTGCATTTTGTTCACAATGGCAGGGACTCAAACACTTTGAAAGCTCAGGCACTGTGGAAAAGCCCATCTCATGTTGCTAACCATGGTCCATACAGTGGCAATCAATTTACTATGTAATCCTGGATCACACTGTGTGTAATTAGACTATGTTTATCTAGGTCGGCCTATAATACCATCTGACTTCAGCTTATCTATGCACAAATTGGTTCTTCTGGATGAAGACCATGTGAGAATTGAATCAAAGTATGAAGAATACGATCGATTTGCAGTGGTGGAGTTTACCGTGGAATCGACAGGACCCATCAGAAACGCTGGAGTCAGTCGGATTGCGACGCACCATGTGCACGAACACATCGCCACAGACGATGTAGAAGGCGAGATAAGTGATGGATTCATTTCACAGCAACTCGTGTGGGAGTTGTTTGGGAAGAACATGATCTTTTACAGCATTCCTCAGCGAAACAATCACAGTTTTATGGCTCCTGCAGCGCTGCGGTGAGAGAGATTGACAATGGGGAGGAAAAAAAAAAAAAAAAAAAAAAAAAAATACTTCGAAAGGAAAAAAATGAAAAAAACGAACAAACCAAAAATGAAAAAAACAAACAGAATAAAACACGATCATGAGGTGGCCAGAAAGCGTCAGTCACCATCAACGTAAAATCATAACTTTGGCAATAGATCTAATAAAATACTGCAGATTCTCTGCGGGAAGCTCACTTGTGTGCACACCTCATCGAAATGCTATCAGGGAAAACAGACACTCACTTGATCACAGCTGGATTCTGGGGCGTTTTCTGATATCTCTTCATGCAACGACCCTGAAGGGAGTTGGTGCTTTAGATGATCATTTCTCAAGTGTAGCGACAGTTTACAGAGAGTGCGGGGTCTCATGTATTGATCGTGTGTGTCCTGTAGGCTGATACCCAGTTTTGTTGATAACCTTATTGCAATGTGCTCATTGCAACATCGATTCCTCTGTTCGCGTATGTGCCGTAATGAAGGCTCCTGAAGCTGCTCCATGTGTTGGGGTTTGGTTCAACCTGAAACATCAGCTTTGTGTTGATTACTCTTCAGATTAGCGACTTTCAGGAGTTGTTTCTTTGTTTCTTTGGATGCCCACATTTGAAACTGTAAGGTATGTGATTTTCCTTTTACTGTCAACTTTTGTGGACTGCCGTTTAGCAACAATGGGTTTGCGTCGTGTGTGGATTTAGAAGCTGTCCAGATTGGTATGTAATGTAAAGTTTTATTTGATTAGTGTTATATTCACCACTTGACATGTGCAAACAACATTGCAGTTTAATCTATGTTTTTATTTCAAAAAATCTTAGCCATTTAAAATATGAAGCTTTTCAAGATTATAATTTATTTATTCACTTTATTTATTTATTAAAAAAAATCTATTTGTCATGAATACATTAATTCAATCGATTCTTGAACAATCTCATAAAATTTATAATCAAAACTACTTTAAACTCATAATATCTTTAAAAATCATATATATATATATATATATATATATATATAGAAATAGATAGATAGATAGATAGAAGCACACTGTAACTTTCAGCAGATGCTTTTCTTTTTTTCTTTATTCTTATTTGATTGCTCACAGGCATCAGATATTTTGGAAGAGAGTGATGAGGGGGAATCCCAACGCAGCAATAGCTAGCTCCCTCAGCAACCACCCTCCTTGCCTCCCCAATTCATCACCCTGTCAGACCAAGCCCACAAAGGAGCAGCAAACGAAGAAGAAGAAGAAACAGCAGTAGTAGTAATAATAGGGCTCATGAAAGCATTGTCGCCAACAACAACTGCTGCACCTTCTGGCACTGGAAGTGCCATAGCCAGGCTTTCCGAAGCAGAGCTGCACCAAAGGAAAACAAAAAAAACAAAAAATAAATAAAAACGCACGAAAACAGAAAACCTCCACACCCACAACAGACGACACATAATAAGAAAAAACCCACACGAATATATTCAATCAAACTACACTTCACAGCGCCAGAACCCAAGTTGGACTTTGCCAAAGGGGGGGGGGACCCAAACGATGGAAGCTACACGGAAAAGCACCACCATCCTACCACCACCACTCAGCTAACCTGGAATGATCCCATTAGCCAGCAACTCACACTCTCTCACTCACTCGCAAGGTCCAGAGCTATCGACCTACCAAGCTCTTCATCCAACAGGAGGAGAACGAGGAGGACCGGAATGTGGACAGGAAACCCAAACCAAACCCAACGCACAGAAGAAGAGAACACGAGTAAGCAGTAAGTGGACCCGCCCGGGTCGGGAAGGGGGGGGGGGGGTGTTCCAGACACAAGGAGAGGGAGAGTTGACTGCCCCGCCTCCTTCCATGACCAAATCCTTGCGGAGACTAGAATTGCTGTGTACACTCGTCGGATTGACGCGATCCTATTGGAAGTTGTGGTTTCATTCCAGCTGGGCATCAGCTCCTTTCGGTGAGAGCTTTGTGGGTTGATGGTGATGCGAGAGAGAGTGCGCTCGCAGGGATATGCTGTGCGTTCGTTTATGAGCTGTTCTTACTGGTGTTTCATGTGTATGGAGCTAGGAGAGGAGAGGGGAGAGGTGAGGAGCGGAGTGGAGGGAAGTCGGGGACGAGGGACGAGGACGCGGAGTGTGAGGGGTGTGTGTTTTTGAGGACGCGGAGGGATTTGTGAGAGGGTGGGATTTGAGGTACGGATCGGTGTAGTTGAATTGTGTGTAGGAATCGAGGCTGGTGGTGGTGGTGGAAGGCGAGGAGGAGGAGGAGGAGTGTGGCATGTGAGAGTAGTGGTTGTGTTTATTTGGTTTTTTTTCGTTGTGGGGTGTGAGTTTGTGGGACGGGAGGTGGATCTGTAGGGTTTGACGGAGTGTTTGTATGGGAGGGTTGAGGAGGGAAGTAAGGTCGTGATTGGCCATGAACGGTCGACGCCAACATGCAAGGAGGATGCGTCGCAAGAATGGTGGCGATGGCGTCTTCTCAACGTTGCTACATCAGGTGTGGTATCTGTGAGCTTGTTGGTACTGTCGTAGTACACACTTTTTTTTTTTTTTTTTTTTTTTTTTTTTGTGTGTGTGTGTGTGTGTCAGCGCATGGTGTCGACTGTTATGGATGGATGTAACATTTGCTGTGTGTTGGGGGGTGAATTGACATCGGACCCACTGCGTCCACTTGTTTCCATTCGATTCAAGCATAGTGGGTCTCAGGCAACGACTGCTTCAGTAAAAAGTTGGCAAGTGTCATCCATTTCGAATCATGTCAGTGGTGCTCAGATTTGCAGTGCAGCTTGTGGCAGAGTGCAGCTTGAGGAGGTGCTAGAATAGTGTACAGAGAGCGGCCTTTACAGTGCATTTTACATGTGTACCGACTACTGCTGGACTGGTTCTGGGCAAAGTGCAGGACGAGGCCAGAGATCCTGACAGTTGAAGCATTATATGTGTATTTTACCCTTAACTTGCTGGACATTGCTTGCAATCTTGCCCTCTAAACTCACACGTACGCCTGGGATGAATCGAATTTTTGTCCGATCAGAGATGTCTCGGAAAGAACGTGGAAGTGCTGCCGGGCTATGATTTCTACACATCAATCTGTTGAGCCCCTGTAGGGATTGATTAGAGGGTTTCCTTCTGCCAAATGTACTCACGATGGAGTGAGAAAGGGCCACTGTGTACTATCGACGCTTGCAGCCATTTCCGTTATGCTCAACCTTTTCTGCGAGATGAAAGGCTTCTTTGATGCACCGATTTTCGGGTGATCGTTTCTGTCGGCCTCGAAAATTGGATTGTCGAGCTCGATCCCCATCTTGTAGTGGAGACAGGAGTGTGAAATCCTCCCCGTGTGCAGGGGGTTTTGTAGATTTTGTAACTATGGATCGCCATTCCAGTCAGTGTGATAGAAGGATATGTCCGATTGTCCTGGACAAACTCTGCGGTAGAGGCAGGGAAGATTCCCACACTTTGCTCTAGTTACAGAGACACCTTGTGGTGCGTTGTAACAAAGAGCAAACATGGGGGCCGCGTGCTCACGAAAATGTTGTCGGAAGAAGCAGCCCATTGACGAAGAGGAGGTTTGTAAGAACGTTCCTCACCATCGATGGCCTTCACTGAACAACGAGAAGATGACTACATTAAACCCCACCGTAATGGTTCAGAATCAGTTAAAAGCCTCGGAGAAGGGTAAGCACGACCCACCTCCTGCAATGGCAGACATAATTTCTGCGACCGGCGTTCAATTTACTTTTGGGGTGAACGACCATGACCTTGAGACTGTGGACTCTGGGGAAGTTGCTCCCGTCATTGATAAAGATGAAAGGAACACAGATGAGAAGAGGCGGCTTTCTAGGATTTTATCTGGTAGGGCCAGTACTGTGAGAAATATGACCTCCATAGTTGCGAAGAAGGGTGCTTCTAGGGTACGTGCTAGCCTTTGCCTATGCTGCTTTCCCTCTTCGATTCCGTTGTTACGTCAAATAAATTGGCCAATCGCAAGCAGTCGTCGCACAGGATTTAATCAGTTGAATCAAACATATGTTGAGAAGCATACGTATCTGGCTCAATTCATACTCTTTTTCAGCCTGATGTCGCGAGTGACGTTCATTCTTCAAATATATCTCCTCGTCATGCTAGTGAATGGTCGAGTGATAATTTATGACGGATTGATTCTAGCGTCATAAATGATGTTTACCTTTCTCATGGCAATTTTAGCTAAACACCTCTTTTTGATTTTCTTGCTTCAATTCCCGTTTAATGCGGCCGTCTGGTTGTATGGGAACAAATGTTCGTCTCTGGTTATTTTCCAAGTGGGGATAAATTTGTAGGACTTATTTGAGTATGCATGGCGGCAGGTCTTGGGAAAGGCTGTGGAAGCATTTGACAACCTTGGGAGTTCAGTTGCTAACCGAGCCGGGCCAACTTTCGCAGCCGGAGTAGTTCCGAAAGGAAACAAGATTGGTATTTTGGCATTCGAAGTTGCCAACACAATTGTGAAAGGCTCCAATCTGAAACAGTCTCTAAGTGAAGAGGAAATGAAAATATTAACAGAGGAAACCTTGGGTTCAGAGGGCGTTCAACTTTTGGTCTCTACAGATTATAAAGAACTCATGAGTATTGCTGCCGCAGACAAGAGGTATGTGTTATTTTCCATCCCAATTACTTGACGACGTCAAAGGGCTGGTTAGATGCCCTTACTGAATCGATTCTCTTCGAGGGTCATAGAGGTCCTTCACTTGGTGTCGTTATTCTACTTCCTTTTTGGCATTGAGTGTATGAGATGGACTGTCGTGATTACGAGTGGCAGGCATGAGCTCAAGGTTTTCACGGACGAGGTTGTTAGGTTCGGTAATCATTGCCGCGACCCTCAGTGGCACAACCTTGATCGAGTATTCTCTCGGTAAAAGTGACTTCTTTTGTTTAAATAATATTGTGGTTCATGGCCGTGTTTTTGTTAAGCATAAAATTCAGAAAGTGAGTTCAATCTATAATGATAGAGTAGGACTTGTTGGCAATGCCTAACCCTGAGGATTTCGTCGGCATCTATTGTTTTCAAGCTCACTTAATGTGACCATATAGTTGTTTACTCATTGACCTCTACATGATTGTGTTATTTCGTGCAGTTTGATCAAAGATGGTGCTGTTCCTCATCAGTCTAAAGAAGAAGCAAATCGTGTCATGAATGACTTGATGGTCCTTGCTCAGAACACTGCGGTCAGTACATTGCTTCCACCACTCTACAACACAACTAGAAAGCGGGGCACTTAAATACTGTGTACAGACCCCAATTTTGTCCCAGAGTGCGCTAGTGGACTTCTCACCGTCGCTCGGATCTTAACTTAGAAAAAATTGTTTGATTGGTAATTTAGTGCGAGCCGCGGAAGGATAAGACTTGCAACCCGTTGCTCAGCTTCTTAGGATGTCTATGGGACGGTGAAGAAGCGATTGAAGAAGAGACTTGGAGTTTTCTGGATGTTAACAGGAGAGCAAAGTCTGGGTCGAAATAATTCTTACATTTTTGAGGGAGTAATTGAACGACATGATTTATGAAGGCGCTACCAGGAGCCACCTTGTTTACATTGTGAAGCAACTGACCGCAGGGAGCGTTGAGAAGGAAAATTTAACACATTTCGCTTTAGTGACTAGTGATGCGAATGACTCCAAGCAATAGATATGGTGCTACCAATTTGTAGTTGAATTTCAAGAAAACGATTAGTCCAGTTATTCTCAAGAGGTGAAAAAGAGAGATATTTGACAAACGATCACGGTGCTGCAACAGGAATTGTATCATGAGCTGCATTCCTTGGACCGCTTCAGAATAGATCTGAAACGCAAGCAACAAGAGGAGGAGTTTTATTCTGGAAATGTTGCTCGTGGTGCTGCGATACCAGGTCCATCTCTCCTTGTTTTCCTCTGCTCATTGTTAGAGAAGCAATGATAGTTCGACATGCTGAAATGATCGTAAAGTGGTGAGATATCTCCATAACGCGGCTCGAAAGCTTTCATGACATGGACGACTATGGCTAAAATCTTTTTCTGGGGGTTTTGATGTACAGAAGAAACAGTGTCGCTCTTGAAGAGTGAAGTTAAGAGCCAGGAAAGGCATGTAAAGACGCTCAAGAGGAGATCATTATGGGCTAAAATTCTAGAAGAGGTAACAATTTAGTACTTCATAGCAATCACTTGTCGATAAAAACTTCTAAAGTACATCGTCATTAGGACTGTCAGTCGGTATTTCACTGTTGCATCGTTCCTGGTGTTGATCGTTTGCCGTGCAAGTTTAAACTCTAAATGCGAATGTTTCAGGTCATGGAACAATTGGTGGATATTGTATATTATCTTTACCAAGAAATCAATGAAAATTTTGGGCCTGATGGTAAATTGATGCTCTCTTGTTCCTAAATTCGTTATCCACGATATTTCACATCACTTTTGTGTGTTTTTGTTGAAAGCCGTTTTTCTAGTTTGCTAATTAGCAGTTAGTTTAAGAGCTTACATGATACTTTCTTTCTCCAAGTAAATAATAATACTAATAGCAAAAAGTTTGAGCTGTTCTTAAAAGGTGAAGAGGATTGAATGGGTCTACATGGATTACAATATTCAGTGTAATTTAGCTGAGGTTATTTTATGTAATTATTTCATTGATCTAGATAATGTGTATTTATAAATGGTGACTTGCAGTATTCTTGGAAGAGGCTGAGAACGGCTGCACAAGGAAGACTGGGAAGCTTGGAACATCTGGCTTGGCGCTTCATTATGCGAATATCATCAATCAGATAGACACCCTGGTATGATGATGTATTTTCTATATTTTTCCCTCAAAACGGTCGGCACTTATCTCGCTAAAAATGTCCAATCGTGACACATATAGCAGAGTTGTGTTTCTAGGAATATCTCTTTTAACGGACTGTACAACCCGACATTTACATCTCAATGCCAAGGTCCATGATTAAAAATTACTGTTCAAAAATCCTATAAAGAACAAATTTTGGACTTGAAATCCAGGTGGAAATTAGATCCAAGATATGAGTTTGTTTTCTCAAATTAGGAGTTTTTTCTTTTCTTTCCTTTCTTTCTTTTTGACAACTTTTCTTGAATTAGGATCAAACAATTCCTTGGCAAAATGGTGCCGCTAAAGTTCTACCTCATTTCGACATCTTTAGATTGAGACTTTAGTGTAAATTTCTCGAGTTTAATTTTCCTCTCGTGACTAATGAGATTGCTTAATTTTGCGGTTCTTTATGGTATTGGTCCTGAAGGGGCTATTCATGTGGATGGCTTTTAATTACGTCTGAATTTGTGCCCCTTCTAGTCGTGTTTTTTTTCCTTGATCTCGTATGATACATGTGGACGAATTTCTTCTTATTGTTTTAGATACTTTCGAATTACGAAGCAGTTGTTAATAGTCCTTTGACAGCGGCATTGGGTTCCACTCCAATGCTCAACTTTTTCTTGATATCTATACATGCAGGTAACAAGACCTAGTTCGGTGCCTCCTAACGCAAGGGACAATCTTTATCAAGGGTTGCCCCCAACTATGAAAGCTGCATTGAGAATTCGCTTACAGCAAAATTCCAATTTGGATCAAGTGAGTTTCATTCTGTTGAAACCCAAACCCTCCCGCCCCCTTTTCAAGATGGTGTGGAATATAAAAGAGGAATTGTTAACGTCGCAGCACTTGCGAATTTGTTGCTGTGAAATTTTAACTAGAACCGGACGCTGGTACTGTCCTGTTTTAGATATTTGAAAGCAGAAGCGTTAGAGTGATGGAGTGTACATTACAGTGATTACGCGGTCGAACTCGGCCTTATTCTTCCTCTACACCGTTCCCAAAATTTGCGTAAAAGAAGGGTAAATTGCATGTCGTGCATCAGACGTAGAACTTGTACTTGAGGAAGTTGTTCAACAGTACCTTCTAACTTTGTTGTGCAGATGACAATTGACGAATTAAAAAGTGAGTTGTACAAGATTTTGGATTGGATGGTTCCAGTTGCTTCCAACACGACGAAGTAAGAATCACCAGTAGTGTTTATCATTTGTTCTAAATCATTTCTTTGTTTTTATTTTTTTCGATTATGGCAGAAATGGGATTGTAATTCTTACACAGCAAGATGTTTTCCTGAGATCGGGCAATTGCAAGACAGCGTTATTTTGGTGCAGATAGTTTTTGCATGTCTACTTGTACTTCTTTATCTTGTTGTTTGTCAATTTTTAGCTGCAGATTTTGCAACTTCATATTTAACAGCGTCTTTGTGTTGGTATATCATCTAAGTTAGATGTATTTTAAAGTGCATTTATGCTATGAAGTATGATTTTCAAGAGGTGATATCATGGACTTAATAATTGTCTTCGGGAATTCGTTGCTTCTGGCGTTCAGGGCTCACCATGGATTTGGATGGGTTGGTGAGTGGGCAAATACTGGGTAAGTATGTCTTCCCAGATCGTATTCCTTCAGTACTATATATGTTAATAATTTCGAGCAACAATCAGTGTGCGAATTACATTTTTATGCCCTCTACACTTAATGCATGTGGATGTTTTTCCGGCTTTTCTTTTCATGTTTATGTTTATGTCGTTGTAATAACAGGTCGGCAGCCGATCGGAAGGCAATGGGATACACAGAAATAACACTGTTGCAAACATTGCACCATGCGAATCAACAGAAAGTGGAGGCCTATATTTTAGAACTTATTGTTGGGTTGCATCATTTGGTCAGCCGAGCAAGGAAAAACATGAACAAGAACAGCAATGTACAGTTGTTACCACAGAAACCTCCGAACAAGACACAGGATAAGAAGCCGGTGGAACTTGGTAGAAGAAAATTAGTTGAGCCATTCGTACCGCCTGAGAGGAACATCTCCCCCCCACCCTTTGAAATGTTTGCCTCAGTGAGTCTTTCAAATTCACCAAGTTTCTCGAATGGGTTTCCAAACCTACCTCATCATGCTCCAGTGACTTCAAGCAGCTCGAAGCTCTCACAGGAGGACGAATCTACGTTGAGTCATGTTGACAGTGGTTCATCATCGAGTCCCATATTTACTCCAGGACTCGGTATGTCGGAAGAATTCGACTCCAGCGTTGTCCTCGCAGAACGAGAACAGCCAAAGTTAAGCCAAAACAGCAGCCATTCTTCAAGTACGGCGAAGAAGTTTGAACTTGATCAAACTATCCACAAACCAAGAAACAGTAAGGTCGATCCTCTTAGGGATGATGTGCATAGAGTAAACGAGCATAGCGTATAGTGATGCTTCGCTTTATACATGCTGTGTTGAAGTTGAAGTTCTCTCGACACTTTCCAAGTTTTTCTTGATAATATATTTCTCCTTTTTTTCGTGAGTAAGATTGACTAGCTAGCTTGCTCGATTTACATGTCATCTAAGCACAACACGTCCACGTAGGAAGGGCATTCGAGATCCATACCTTAGTCACGTTCTTTTTCTTGAAGAGGATTAATGTCTTCCACCAAGACTTCGATACAGCAGAAAGCAATATCTGTAGAAGTTAGTGACAGCATATGCCCACGCCTCATTTTCACACGTTGTAAATGATGGAGCATTCCCGATTGTAGTTAAGCCGAAGAGACGTTTCTAAATGCTCCTATTAACAACTGTACCTCTCACAGAGCAGTCAGTGGGGTTTCTTCTCCTCACTTTCATGATCTATTCAACAGTGTACCGTAATCTAGGCTCTTGTCTTGTAATATAGCCTAGCTAGTCCTATATTCTGTCCATTGACTTTCTAAAGTCGGTAGTCACACCAGGCCTTTTGGGCGTGCTTTTGACTTAGTGGGTACCTCACGGCACTTCCTTTTATTTTATTTTATTTTTAAGTTCCGGTGTTTTATGTAATAAAGTAAGCTACAATCAATCTGGGTCCCATACGCGGGTTGGCAGATGAATGAGGGTGGGGGCTAAGTGCCATCGAGGGGAGGAAAGGCCTCCTGAACAGAAAACATCCTGCTAACACCAGGTATCCTGAAAGGTTTTTATGATTTCTGTCTTTCTAGTTTCGCCGCATTTATCAATGTAGCTAAGGATGTGGTTTCTATTAGCCATCCCAGCAAAGATTACCTCTCTCTAGGTTAGTTGGCAAACGCTATGTGCATTAATGCGTTCTTGTGAGAAAACTAAGCGGCACTGGGCTCACAATAGGTGCCATAGAATTGCGGCTCTATGTTTAAGGCTGGAAGAAACGGGGTGGTGTTAAGGTAACAAACGCAATCTTCGTTGTGGGTGCCTGGGGGTACGCCTGTGAGCAATTCCCTCCATGCGCGGATTGGGGGGCGTTGTAATGTCCTCCACACCGGTTCACATGCCTGCCATACTCTTCGCGCGATCTTGCGACCTCTGAGGCAATGTTCCAGGGACTTTTTAACCTTGTAATTGCAACAAAGACAAATGTCGGGGAAGCCCATTACCGCGCACCAACTTCCTGCAGGCAGACCACCAGAGTTAATCTGCCAGAGGAATGTTTGTAATTTTGCCGGTTTATACTTGTTCCTTATTGATGCTATGGAACTCCAGGTTTCCTCTTGGGTTAGGCCGAGTCGTTGTTGTTTGTTTGTCAGTCTCGAGTTTTGCGCCTTGGGCGCTAGTGCAATTCTGTATCCTGCTCGTGTTGAATAGTTGAAGAACGCAACTGGGCGCAATGGGGTCGGAGGATTCCACACCCATTCCAAAAGAACAAACGTAAGGTCGCGCACTAATCCTGTAACCCAAATGCGTCCAGAATGCTCCCTTTGTAGATTGATTTCCGTTGTGCGAAGGTCTCCACTCATAGTTGTGACTCGAATTCGGCGGAGCTCCATTTCTGTTATGTCCTGTAGAGGGCCGGGGTGTCAAGCGAAAAGGTTGGGGCTCAATTATATATATCTGGCTCCTTCGTATTGTCCCTGCAATTGCAATCCATGCCTTCCACACAGCACACCAGACATCCGAGCCCATGCCGTGCACTGTAGTTGCGAAGAGGATGAAATGGATGTTTGGGGGCCTTCTTGCTGTGTAGATCCATATCTGGCTTGTTGGATAATGTCAAAATATGCAAATGGTCAGCAAGGAACGGTATCAGGACAAAACAAAAAGCAACCGACTTTCGAGCAATTTAAACCTATGTCAATCTTCTATGTGCTGCTCCAACTGCACTTCAGTTAAAATCCTCTCATGTTCATGTCCCTGTTTCTCCAAAGAATGCCACAAGTGATGGCATTCTCGTGCGTGGTATACCAATGGTGCTTTCCTGTTGCAACATTCGGAATACTGTTGAGATTCATGAGCACACTGTTGGTGGTCTGTGTGTACGCTTGGTTCAGAGTTTGGACAGGCGAAGAGCGAGAATCTCATTTTCATAGAAACGGCTGCTTGGTTGATAGACTTCACCAGCACTGTGAATGGCAAAACTTGGAGTTGCCCATCACTAGGAAGCATCATCTTTTTGACACAGAATAAAAAACAGGGTACATTCAATGCATTGATATAGTGAAACAAAAATATCACTAAGCTCTTGATACCATACACAACGGTGTTGTGTTGCAACATGCCTATTGGTTGAAAGAGAGAAAAAAAAGAAAAAAGGATGATATTATAGAAGAGCTTAATTGAAAATATAGTAGCAAATTTTATGGAAAGCATAGGTAAAAATTAAGGAGGTAGTAAAAATATAATGAATGAAGTTTTAAACCAATGATTTAGTGCAACTAACATTTTAAAATAAATTTGCAAACTATTTATACTCATAATAATCATCCATGTTTTCATTTAATTTTCTGAAATTTTTAATAAGTATGTAAGAAATCCTACATTCAAATTTTATAAAAATTATTTTTAATTATTTATTTTACATAATAAATATACCTTTGATTATGTGTACTTATAAATTTTATGAATTATGTTTTTTTATTTTTTAATTTTTAAAATACATTGATTCAGATACTGGAACAATTAAAAAATGTATAAGATATATTTTAAGCATCTTCAAATTTTGAAAATAATTAAACTATTTATGACATTAAGAAAGTTTAAATTTTTTAAAGACATGTATGTAACCCAATTTCATTTATCATATATATCATATTTTTAATTACTTTATATTTAACTTTGTGACCTTCTTTTTTTCTTCAACCATGATATGACACCCTACAAAACCACATAAAAATGAAAAATAAAAAAATAAACCCCCAGTTGAATGCCTTAGATTCTTAATATTACAGAGTTTTAGAGGTAAAGTTTTAAAATAAAATATCAGAGAAAACATAAATTATTAAAAAAGATCAAAATAACTTTATTTTAAAGGTGTAAGAAAAAGAAAAAGAAAAAGATACATATATATATATACATATATACATATACATAATGAATAGCACAAGTAGGAAGTAAAATATTATAAAATAAGAATCTATTTTGCAAAAAATATATAATATTCAGAGTAAGATAAATTTTACATATTCTATTGAAGTTGATTAATTATATTTTTTCGCATTTTTTCATGAGCTGTGTAGATCATTCCATACATTTTTTGTTTTTTTTTATCATATTTGTAACTAAACATATGGGCAGGCCATTCTAATGAAGAACAATTTTTTTTGATATTAGATATTTGTCATGAAATCATCAAAAACTATGTTCTATATTAAGAGAATGAGAGAATATCTTTCAAATTCTTAGTTATAAGACAACAATTTTAAGAGGGCAAAAAGAGTTAATGAGCTTTAAATGCAAAGCTATCCCTTTTGTGTAACTTTATTCACATTCTCCTTTCACATTCATTTGTGTCCAATGTTAGTCTAATACAGGACAAGTAGGAGAAGTTGTGTCCAATATTACACAATGTCGGACAAAATTCTCATTGTCCTACATTAAAGGGCCTATGTATAGATATAAAAAAAATAACATGAAATAGCATAAATAAATAAGACACAAAATAATTTGCATCACCGACCAGTGTTGTCAAAGGAGAACCGTCAAATAAAGTTATGATATCACATTGATGAACTGAAAAATTAAAATCAAACAAAAAAATGACTCCTTCAATCCATTCAAATCATCATTTTTTTATTTGGGGAGGAGAGAAGTAACCTTGGCTAGAGGTCCTGGTTTTCAACCACAGCCATTTGTTGCCCTCGTTGACAAGGTCAATTTCAGAAAATAAAATAAAATAGGTCAGAATAATAGACACAAGTGTCGTTGGTGAGGACTAGTTTCTTATTTCACAATGTTATATAAATTTGTTGTTCTAGGTTTTATTTGAACACATTAAATTCAATGTACATAGGTGGCAGGCATGACGCAAATTAAGAATAGGGCAGGCAACATGTGGATATTTCAACGAAGATAGCATAGTTGTTTGATAGAAATATGCCAAATTAGCTATTTGAGTGGTAAAAATGAACATTATACAGTAAATAACCATATGACTAGAATGCCATGAGGTAGGAAAAACATTAGCTTGTGAAGTGCAGAGCTGTGATATAGCTCCATCTTTTCCGGATAAGCACGCAAGCTAGTATTCGAAGCGGCTGGTGCCCAGAGGGGCACCCTGAAGCAATTTTTAAGTATAGATGACGTAGAAACAAGGCAAAGGAGCGCGAGGAGCTTGAGCGCAGCCACAAGGTGCACCAATCCTCACAAAATTTGGCCACCTAAACGAGAAGTTCTCCGAATCCTAAAATTCTTTTTTGCCAATTGAAATTTTTCTCTACATTGTGCCTTGCTAGATCAGATTAGGCAGATTTTAGAATTAGAGGTACTCTCAATGGGAGATGCCACAACACATGTGCGGCCACCACTGTGGAGCAACACGTCCAAGACCGTCCACGCCTTGCTATTTCCGTCTGGTCCCAAGATAAGATCTAATTTGTCAAAAGAAACCTTAGCGCAGATCAAGCAGGAAGCTTTCATTCCTTGTCCGCCTAGCTCTAATCGGTTTCGCCCCTACCAAACTGCCCTCTCACATCGAACTGCAAGAATGGGTGAACGTGAATTTGGTTGAACCAAATATGCTCATAATCAGAATCCGGATGCTTCAGCGAGGATACTTCGTGATCAACTTCGCTCTAGAGGAAGGAGCTCAAGCTGCATTACAACAAAGTCCTCTCACATTCGGGGCTCATCTGATTCACCTTCATCCGTGGAAACCATAATTTGACCCATATGCTCCGCAAGAGATTCGAGTTTTCTTCTGGATGCGGTTTCCCAAACTTGACGACGTATTTTACCCAGTATTACCAGAGGTAGGAGCGGCCATTGGAGAGGTGGTGTGGACCGGGAAGAAAGAAGATTACCACAAGAAATCTTCCACCCCAAGGGTCTGCGTTCTAGGTTAGGATGTAAAACTCATCCCTTTATAAGAGATACTATCCATTCCCTTCTCAAACATAAAAGTTGAAATCATATTGAAATATGAGAGCATACCAAAACAATGCAGCTCATGTTTGGAGCTAGGATACGAGGCTGGACAATGTCAACAAAAGCGCCCTACTTAAAGTTCAGGCATAAACAAGAACAATAAGGCCATCCATCGACGGGTATCAAACAATACAAGAATCAACCTCTGACCTCTGTAGCCCCAACCGAGTCGCTTATTCCAACGAGACCTTCTGCAGATAACCAAGTACTATACCCCCTACAAACAAAAACGGCTATCGACACATCAAACTTACAGGACACTTTTTACCTCAATTCATCCACACATAATCATTTTACCTCTCTAGTGGAATAACCTGAGAATGCCGAGTGGCATATAGTAGAAAAGAACGGGAAGCCTCTCAAGATTCCTTCTCCAAAACAAAACACAATACTGACACCTAGCAAGAAAAGACCCATCTCTTCCAGCATCCTGGAAGATCATATATGAGATAGCTTACAACTGGACCAAACTCGCACTAGCGGAGATCATCGATTCCAAATATGGCCTATATTCTACATCAAGGTCAAGAACAAGAGATGATTCTTGAGCTTAAACCATAGTGAGCTACAAGGCACTCAAATCACACTCCCAACCAACATTAAACAGAGTTTTGAAAGCATCCGAACACTATGCTGGGAATAGTTGGTGGAAGACTTGCAATGAAACGTTGGCTCGGGTTGCAAAAGTCTAATTACATGCAAATGGAGCTCGATAGAATGGATAGAAAAGTGACAAATCATTACTAAGGGCTCTCACAGCTGCCACATCCTAGCTATCATAGAGACAGACCCAATTGACACATCCTTCTACTTTGAGGAATCAACACACCAATAGACCGACATAAATTATTTGAAGGTGTGAGTGCACCTAGAATGGAAATTAACATCAAATGAATGCTTTCTCCTATCTTTTTGCCCATGCGTGGGGTATCAAAATAGCAACCACAACAAATAACATGGATTGTGCACTAACTATAAAAACAACAAGAGACTCATCGGCCACTCTTTCGCTAAAAGAAGACTCTTCCCATAGGTTAGCAAGCAAGAAACACTCCACTAAGGACAAGGACACCACTTTCTCCACCTATAACCAAAATTGCGATCTAATTGATCTGGAAACAATGACATTGGGCAGACCACTACAAGACCAACAGTAGTTAGTCAACTACGACCACCCCTCTTTTTGCCACTATAATACTCCTTCAAGATCTCTTATAGCAGCCTCCGAACAAAGACCACTGCTCCCAGAGGAGTATCTGTAGGTTACTACAACAATCCGTTTTGCCCCATGTCAAACCTTAGAGTGTGTATTAGTTAATTGCAATGAATATCGTTTAGTATGGCCCATGGTGAGGGTTCCCAAATCAATCTGGTTAAATAGCAGAGCTTTGAAAACATACCTCATCACAGAGATCGCCAATTGGCTCTCCTTGAAAGACGCCACGCAAAAATACCCTCTCCTCAAAATCTACCATTTGGACATCCGGAAACAATTCAGTACCGCATCCCATTCTACGGTGGTACTTTACATATTCCAAAATTTTACAGGATACACAATGCAATAGAAGACAGCACTAAAATTCTATGCCTCCCATTGCTCCGCTCATGCAAGGAACTCAACCTACCATGGTCTACAATAGAATCTGACCCCCTCCCCTCCATCTCTAAGAATGATTAATAAATCTCTCAACATCCTTATATGGAATATTTGGGAATTCTCTAACTCTCAAACAGGCGCTATTAAATGTCGATGTTTCCGTCAATACATCAAAACTATGTTTTCAAACCGGATGTGGCCTTTATTTAAGAACACAAACTATCCAAGGACCTCTACGACAAGATGGGAGCACTCAGCTTTCAACGTGGACATGGATATTGCAACGAAGCAATCATTAATCCCAACACAATGCGTCACCAAAGTAGAGCGGTGATCCTGAGTAGTGCTGCCCTTCAGCACAAGGTACTAGACTCGGGCATTCTAACCTCCGACAGAGCTCAGTGGCTCACTTGTTCAATAAAAAAACAAGGTTATCAGATTCCTAAACCTATATGCCCCCAATCAAGGAATATTGTAACATTATTACAAACGGATGGACGATCTTCCGCGGAAGTCATCAACTACACTGAGCTGAAACCACTGAAGCTTCATTGCGCTCTCTTCCCTATGTGCTGTGTTTGGGTAGGCAAATTCTGTGGATTTGAATGTGGATATTCATGGGCATCTACTACATCATAGAGTAGTGGCTTCATTGGAGGTAAGCAGACCCAACTTGTTCTGACTAAATGGATTGCGGCTCTTAAAGAACAAGTAGGGGAAATGATGATCTTGGGGCGAGATCTTGGTCGGGGCTTCTTTTAGATAATTGGCAAGCAGAATACAACTACGCAAAAGCTATTGATGTTGATCCTGCACCAGTCGTGTTGGGAGACATGTAAAATGCAAACATGGATCCCGGAGTTTGACTCCAGCCAGCCACGAGGTCTTAGGGTCTCCACATGGATGACACTGTGCGGAATCTCAAGGGAGTTTATGAATGTCGCTAAGTAAATTGCAGAAGGGTTGGAAGCAGTACTAAGGAACGATGCTTGCAACAAGAATGCAGCAGATCAACATTTTTGCATAGCCATGGAGGCAAGGGCGGGATGGCGCACACTTCTTTTAGTTACCAACGAAGCATCCGAAGATGTATCGGTAACCACAATGGATTACTGTAACCTACCTATCAGATGTCGTTTTTATTTGAGTATAGATCACTTGGTCAAAGAATGTAGAGGAACTCGGTTACAAAGACACACAGAGGAGGAAGTGGCAATATCTGTAAGAATACCACCACCTGCTCCAACTGCAAGAAAAGTGCCGTATCCACAACATGACACTCCTACGACCAACGACAAGGTATTCCCCCTTCCTCCTAACCTTGATGGGCAGAATCCCACTATTGTGGTGGGATTATCGTGTTCTTCGTCGGAAAAATTTCATTGTAGTACAGGTTTTCAAACCAAGGCAGAGTAAGGTCCGGAAACCATAATTTGAATGGAGATTCCCGTGTCATTCCCGAATACAAGTAGAATGGCTAGGAGAAAGTCTACCGCCATAAAAGTACAATAAGAGGACCACAATAAGAATATAGCAGCAGTTCAAAAATTACTAGGGCCTCCACGGTCTAGACCACAACATCCAAAGGAAGGTTAAGGAGGTCAACCATGGATTCCAATAGAAAAGTCTATCTACCCCTCTAAGGATGGCTACATCGATGATCCCGGAAAGACCTATCGCTCTGACTCTCTCCTTGCCCCAAAACAAAGAAAGGAGAGCCATGGTGTGGTCTCCCATACCCTAGAGAGGGGCAAGCACCATCTTACATTCAAAGGTGACTCACTTAGACTGGATAGCCCAATAGCAAGAACAAAGGAGTGGGCTTTCCAGAACTCATGCCTCAAATTAGTGTTGATCCATAGGCAGCTCCAGTGAAGGATAATCTTGATAAAAAAGGCAAGGAAGCCCATCCATGCAACTCCCTTGCCCAGGCTAAAGAAAGACGTTACATACAATGTACCTCCCATAGCCATACTAGCAGCATCCCATTCAATTCAAGAAATATGTTGCCCCCCTCTGTCCACCTCTTTGACATGTATCCTAGCTCATTTGCCAATGATTAACAGTGACTTAAATTGAGTAGCATTGCTATCACACTTGTTGCATACAACTAGTATAGGAGACATATCCAAACTGTACCCAACAATGCTATGCATCAATACTAATGGTTTGCCAACTCCTAGATCTAGCATATCGATTCCAAGAATACTATTGTGTAGTAATATAGCCATTAGGTGAAAGAAGGAAAGAAAGTATTTTATTATGAAAGAGCCTAATTAAAAATATATAATAAAAAATATAAATATAGGTAGATAATAAAATCTTATAATATTAAAATTACTTTTTATAAAAATAGATTTTACTTATTTTGTATAGCTATAAAGTACAAAGTAAGTAAAATTTATTTTTATAAAGATAGATTTGAAATAATACTTTGAAGAAATAGAACTTTGAAGTCTAAATACATAGCATCAACAAGGTTGCATACAAAGAAAGTATAGAGTAAGATGTGTCTCACTTCCAACATCCAATATTTATAGGTTGTAGTTGCTGCCCTACAAGATAACTTCCACTCTTTGACTTTTACACACGTGATCCTAGGTCCTAGGATCTTTCAGCATTTAATGTACCTTGAGGGTATCCTATGGTCTTTGGATCCTTTGGCATCTTACTAACCACAAAGATATCATATGCCATAATACTAATTACTCTTTTTTAGTCTTTGAATATTGTGTAGTTTATACATTATTCTCTTGACTTTGACTCTTGGTCTTTGACCTCGTCATATATCCATATGATGCCCTTTTCATACACCAAGAGTCAATCTTTTGACCATTAGCAACTTATCTAAGATAATACTTTTTACTACATAACCTATTCTATTTTTATTTACTTACTCCAACACTCCGACTTTGTTATTGGTCAAGGAGCTTTCAATCCTAAAGCCTTTGTCAACATGTAATATCTATCCTTTACTAATGCCTTTATCAACAAATCAGTAAGCATGTCTTTCGTTGTATAATACTTCATATCAATGACTCCCATTTCAATCTTCTATCATATAAAGTGATATTGAATGTCAATGTCTTTGGTCGTTGAATAATTCTTTGGATTCTTTACAAAAGCAAGATGTCCTTGATTATGACACTTCATTGGAGTTGCTCCCATTTGCACTACTCCAATATCTTCTAAAGGTTGTTTTAACCATATTGCCTCCATTGTACCATGACTTGCTGTCATGTACTCCGCCTCCATTGTTGATCTTGTAATTATTAGTTGTCTTTTGCAATTCCATGAAATTGCTCCCATTCCAACAAAGAATGCATAACTTGTTGTTGACCTTCTATCATTTGTATCTATAACCCAATCTACATCACAATAACCATGCATAGTAATATATCACCTTCGAGACATAATTTGAAGTTCAAAGTACCTTTTAAGTAACTCATGATCCTTTTGATGGTTGCCTAATGGATTAGTCTAACCTTTGACATGTGTTGGCTCACAACACTTATCGCATATGTAAGATCCATTATCGTGCCAACCATTGCATATATTAGTAAGCCCACTACTACCTTGTATGGAACACCTTGCATTTATCCTTCAACTTCAACAAACTCCTCTTCCGTAAGCTTCATCAACTTCAAATTAACTTTTGAGGGTGTTCTAATAGGCTTATATTCCTCTATGTTGAATCTTTTCAACACCTCTTCAATGTATTTACTTTGGCTCATTATAATGGTCTTTTTAGCATGATCTCTCACAAACTCCACTCCTAAATAATAATAAAGCTCTCCCAAATCACTCATCTCATATTCTTTTTTTAACTTTGCCTTCAATCAATCCATCTTCTTCATGGTATTACTTAATATGATCAAATCATCAACATAGAAGATGACAATCAATATGAATTTATTTGATTGCATCACATACAAAGAATGATCAGTTTCACTCCTTAAAAATCCTTCATTCACAAAGAATGTATCAATATGTTGGTACCATGTCCTTGGAGATTGCTTGAGCTTATACAAAGATTTCTTCAACTTATAAACAAGGTCTTATTTGCCATCTTCAACAAATCCTTGAGGTTGATCCATGTAGATGTCTTCTTTCAACTTTTCATTCAAAAAAGCCGTCTTTACATCCATTTGATGCATCTCCAAGTCCATTGTTGCTCTAATTGCCACAATGGTTCTAATGGTGGTGGATTTGGCCATGAAAACAAATGTGTCATTGAAATCAATTCCAACAACTTGTGAATATCTTTTGGCTATCAACTTAGCCTTGTATTTCACAACATTGATCAATTGCATCCCTTTTGGTTCTAAACATCCACTTACAACCAATTGAAGATCGATTTGGTGGAATTTGAGTCAATTCCCATGTTCTATTTTTCATGAGTGATTTGGACTCTTCTTCTATGACATTCTTTCACTTCATGGCATCTGTGGACTTTATTACATCATATAAACTTAATGGATTAGTAAAGAGTGCAACATTAGCATGTTCTTCATTTACTTGACAAAAGATGTGGTTCTTGTACTATACACTAAGTTATTTTTGATCTCTTAAAGGATATCTCCTTTTATTTAATGAAGATTCACCTTCATGCACTCCAATAGCGCTTGCAATCTTCTTTTCTCTTAAAACTTGTCTCTTCACACTTAAAGATTGGTACTGCTCATCACTATCATCATCTTCAACATCTTGATTGTCTTTATTGCTGATTTTAGTAATTTTAGGCACTTCATGATCTATCTACTTTGATTCTTCATCTTGATTTGAGATTCCACTATCTTCACTGTCATCATATTTTTCTTCTTTCATTGTTGGATTTAAAGATATATCCACAAACACACCATTACTGTCACTTAGACACATCTCCAAGTGTTCACAAGCACTCTTGTCCTCCAAAAATTCTACATCATAACTTTTAATGATTTTCTTGGTTTGTAAATATATGAACCTATATTCTTTGGTATCTTCATAATATCCAATAAATATACATTTTGTTCCTTTTGTATCAAGTTTGGATCTCATGCAATTTGATTTCTTTGCATAAATAATGCATCCAAAGATCTTCATATATAAAACACAAGGTTTCTTACCACTCTAAGCTTCTTGTGGAGTCATTGATGTGAGTATACTTATTGGACATCTATTCCTTATATAAACTGTATTGACGATAGCTTTTGCTCAATATTCATACTCAAGGTTTTGTATATAAAGTATATTCTTTGTCATCTCCACAATGGTGTGATTTCTTCTTTCAGCAACTTCATTTTATTGTGGAATATAAGAAGTAGAGGTTTATCTTGCAATGCCTTGATTTCTCAAAAATTCATCAAAATACTTTGACATGTATTCACCTCCATTATCTGTGTACAACACTTTCATCTTACATTCATATTGCTTCTCCACAAGTGCCTTGAATTCTTTAAACCTTGAAAAACATTCATTCTTGGCTTTAATATTGTATATCCACATATTTCTTAAAAAATCATCAATAAATATGACAAAGTATCTTCTTCCTTCAATTGATGGTGTTTTCATTGATCCACAAATATCAGAAAAAACCATCTCCAATAATTTTCTTGTACGTGTTGTAATTCTACTTGGAAATAAAGTTTTTTTTTGTTTACCTTGGATACAACCTTTACAAACAAGTGTCATAGCATTTTGGCTAAATTGACCAAGATTCAAGCCACTTACCATAGATTTGAGCTCTTTTATACTTTTGGCATTCAAATGACCAAGTCGTTGATGCCAAATGCCAAACTTGTCTTGATTTTGTGAAAAATCAACATATGTTACTACTTCAATTCCATTTACCTTCTTACAATTGATGAAGTAGAGGTTGCCATCTCTAAGAACTTTGGCAATATGTTGTCTATCCAATGTCTTCACAAAACATCTGTTTATGCCAAATTGAACTTTATAACTATGTGATATAAGTTTACTCATCGAAAGAGGGTTCTTCTTCACCTTTGGTACATGTAAGACTTCTTTCAATTTGATCTTCTTGATTTGGTCCTTTACTACAATCTCCACTACAATGGAGCTAATTCCAATGGCTTACACCATGCTATTATCTCCCAGCCATACTTTTCTTGTAGGAATTGCTTCATAAGTGTCAAATGAACACTTTTATGGTGTCATATGCTTAATAGCATCTGAATCTATAATCTTTTTAGACATGGCAGCCATGGAGGCTCCTTCACTTGTGATAAAAGTGTAATCATCTCCATCAAAACTATTAATAATATTATTTATATTTTTCCTATCTCTTCTCTTGGCCTTGTAGTAATTTCTAGCAAAATGACCTGATTTTCTATATATATAGTAATTCCTTATATTACTTTTTGAATTATGACATTGGTGTAGAAAGCTACCTTTGCCTTTTCTTGAGAATAGAGCCAAATCAATACTTTGAAGCTTATTTATTTTCTTCTTAGTTACTTCATATACAAGTTTTGATGGGACATAATTCATAGTAAGCTCTTTCATGTTGATAGACTCCAATGCCACAATGAGGTAGTTATAGGACTTAGGAAAGCTCATGAGCAATGTCAACATAATTTCTCTATTATCAACTAGTATGTCAAGAATTGCTACTTGATTTGCAAGTCCTTTTAACTTCTTAACATGAACTATGAGGTCATTTCTTTCTTCCATCTTTATCATTAAGAACTTCTTACTTGTCCATAGAATATTGGCAAGGTTTCTACTTTCATAGATGTTTCAAAGAGTCTTCCACGCTTCTTCTAGTCCATTACAAGCAATTATATGTGAAAAATTGGCATCTTCAAGACTTGTAGCAATCATGCCAAA